AATGTATTTTAAAATAAATTACAATACACTAGCTAACTCATCTTCCATCCTGACAAGTGAACTTGCATTACGTATAAACACCCAGCATACTTAATTACCCAAGACAAAGAGACAGTACTAATGTTGTTAAGTTTTCATATGAATTAAAGCTCATACAACATTCTAAGAATCTCATACATAAACTCTAGGGACATTTTCACATCATCAATTTTTGGGACACAAGAACAAACATGATATCCTGATACTGAGCAAAAATGAAACAAAAAGTTTTAAATTTCCATGATATAATTTGTATTTTACATATAATTTACCTTGAAACATATGCAACTAGGCGGCTACAAATGAGTAACAGTTCTATCAATGGCTTATTCTAATGAATAAATGAAAGCAAACCTAAGTCATCTTTTAACAAGCTCACTTTATGACTAGAAAACCACAAGCAACTCTGTCAATTTTTAAGGACTTCCATTCCTTTAAAGCACGGCAGTGAAAGTGAAACTTCATCTCTGCCCATGGTGCCCTGTGCAGCATGGCACATGGAGGCCCAGCCACGACGGCGAGCAGGCTGAGGGTCACGCCGGGCCCGGGCCACCTGACCACACTTACTTGCTCTTCCGCCCGCCACGGGAGTCAGCTGCTGACGAGCTGGCGTTCTGTGTCAGCGTTGTCATGAGTGCCGAAGATGAGGAATAGCCAGCTCCATCCCTGGGCATGGAAAATTCTTTTCCCAATTGAAAGTCATTATTCTTAAATGCTTCATAACTGGCTTTTAAACTTGAAGTCCTTCGTCCTTCTTTCATCTTAAATAGACATTTATTTATAGCATTAAGACATGTAAAGACAACTTTTTACAGCTTTATGTTACAGTATTATTTTTCTTATCTACCATTAGTTATTCTGTTTGAATCATTCAAAAAAAATTTTTTTTTTGGTGGAACCGGGGATTGAACTCAGACGCTTGTGCTTGACAGGAAAGCACTTATTCTATTGAGCCATCTCCCCGGCCTTTTGTTTAAATTATTACCTTCATCACTGGCATTTAAGTTATTTCATGGAAAGATGTAAATCAGTTTTCATGCAATTAGAGAGTAACTACAGAAAGGGTCACTTCTCCATCTGGAGTGGCGATAACTACAGAAGTGAACACACTCAAGGCACAGAAAGAGCCTTGAAGGTGGTAAAAACAAAAGCCAGAGAGCAGTCCTAGGTGTGCTGAGGGTTTAAGGTGAGAACCCAGGTGCCATGAGCAATCCTTGTGGGAAGAGGCTACACATGACCTATATGAATGATTTACTTCTCATTACCAATCAGGTAATTCCTATGTATTACTTCACTAAATATTACCTCCTCAAGCTACAATTTAAAAATGAATTATACAGTGAGAAAATGGTATGCTCCCATTCATTTGCTTCTACAAGGGTTTGCCAATGATTCAGACAGAATATAACATTTGTCTCTACGCTTGCCCCTTTTTACCTGTGCTGTAGCTTGAACTGCTTGTGCGGCTGCCATGGTAATTGCCCCTGCACCACTACCTGAAGATAACGAGCCAATGTTATAAGACGCCAGAGGCTGGGAAGAATTCACGCTGTAAGCATTGTTGGAAGAAGCTGCGGAATTATTATTGCGACAACCTGTATAGAAGAAACAAAAATGGTTGCAGAATCAAGTTACTGAGTTTAAGATACATTATTTTCCAACACAGAAATAACATTAAATTTAAATTCTTCATGTACTATAGGCTTAGTCAAATGAAATACATTTTTCTTTTTTTCTTTCTCCATACACAGACTTTAACCTGGTAATAAAACTGCATGATTCATTAACCTCAAAATATTTTCATTTTTATTTACTCAAACACAAAAAAATCATACTTAAGAAAATAGCTTTACCCAGAGTATTTTCTTTAGAGGCATCTGATGTGAGGGTAGATAGAAGGGCTTCAGATTTAAACTTCTTTTCAGGAATATGATCTGTTGTTGTATGGTGAGAAGTTGGGTTATATTTCCTTTCTGAATATAAATAAAGAATCTGTGTGTTTTTAAACTGTACATAACCATGGACAATGCATAATACTTCCATCCAGTTATAAATGAACATAGTTATAAAGGAGTCTGCTTTCCTCATGAAATGCAAAACATTACATTTTTTCAGAAGACAGAACAAGAACTTTTGCTATCACATGCTTTCTTCCCATGTTCTCACACATTTTAAAACTTTTAACAGTAAAATACTGAACATAATCCACAATGTGCCATCATTTCTCATTTTACATGATGGGAATTTTGTTTTCAAATCATTATCTATCATTGAGAGTAGTTTTTTTTTTTTTTCTGTATTTTAGGGAAGGGTCTACAGGGTGTTCAGGGTCTCACTACTAGATCATACTCATAGTGATCTGCCTGTTTACAGCCTCCCAAGAGCTGGGATTAGGGGCATACGCCACCACACCCAGTCTCAATTGCTGTCTCAGCACACCTGGGGGGCAGGGCTGGCACAGCAGGCCTGGGGATCAAATTTCTGGCCCCTGGGCCTGCCTGCAGGCGCTTTAATCTGCTGAGCTATTTGGCCAGCCCTGAGAGTAGCTTTTGATCAACTCTCCTTTCCTATCAAATTGATACATCAAAAATGTACCAGTACAGTCGATGAGCCCGCCAACCTCAACTCCTTCATTCACTAATTCACCAACCAAGTTCATTATACACCCAACAATGGGCTAAATATGAAGAAGACAAAGGCAGTACACTAAGTCACACATGTCTTCCCCAAAGAAAATGATAGGTCTGCCAGGAATGGCAATGAAAAACTGTATTTCAACACATGCACATGTACACATGCACACACACACAAAAAAAAAGCAGGGAAGATTATTTCTCAAGTAGTTATATAAACATAATAAAAAAAACACGGAGGTAATACTCTTGAGTTTTTAATTATAAAGATCTAAGTAGTTAATATAGTAGAGTATTTAACTGTAGCTACAATAAACCAAACTTACTTTCCACTGGAGTATGTGAATGAGCGTGGTGATTGTTCACTGGCTGTGAAGGAGTATCTAATTCCAAAGATCCTAAAAAGAGAGGCACAGAGACATACCACCATGAAATGTTACCACAAAATTTTATAGTCAACTGCTACAGAGAAAGTATTCCCTTACCCAACAAAAGACTGGCAAGCTTTGACATAAATGCCCATGCCATGTTATCCAGACAAATCAAACGTTACTACTGCCAATTCCGCCCTGCACTACCCTGTCTCTACATCATAGGAAACCCATTTGCCAATATTCACCTTAAATATAAAATTAGTCAAGATACACTAATGTCTAATTAGGGAATTCACCACAGTGGGTACCATGTAAATAGATGAAAAGACATTAAACCCTATTACTGATAAGACCTAAAACACTCAACCTAGTATAACATATTCAAAGACCTTCTAGTAGGAAATTCTAAAGTTCTAGGGGATGAGGACATTGCCATAAGAAAAGCAATTCTTTGATATTAAAATGACATATAGTGAATAGTTCCTAAAAGAGGTCAGGGATTTTGCTTGCAAAAAGTAAGGAATATGGACTCTAATACCAAGCTTTAAAATACTTTCGGAGAAATTCTTTAGGTTGTGTCCTTAATCCCTTGAGATGAAATTATGGCAGGGCACAGGATGGAGCAGTTTTTATAACTTGATCCAATTTAGTTTTATATGTCTGTGTCCTTAGAGAGGATGCTTTAACCTTCCTGCAGTACTGAATAGGCATGAGTTATTCTCAACTTTGTCCACATTTCAAAAAAAGTCAAAGCAGTTGCATAGAATATTTTATTTTGTTCCCAAGTGCTTATTATCCTAAGATAAGGTACCTTCAGACTAAAAGTATCTCACAAATAAATTAGATGCTTATCTAACATGAAGGTTGTATCTTGAATTTAAAAATGCAACTATGTATATCAAAATGGAATTGGTGATCAGCTTCTGTCACTGACCTACAGTGAACACATAAACAGAAAGATGCTCTGCCTAGCACTGTCAAAATCTTTCGTAAGTAGAAGCAGGTAATGCATTCTTGCTGTTGAAATTCATCTAGGAACAAGACAAGTGTGAACACTTTAATCATATCCCAGTAGAAATTGGCCATGATATTAACTAAATGCCTTCCCTAAGCCTACCAGCACACTACCTCGTTTTGTGTACCTCATCTATTTACAATGGAAAAGAGGCAAATCAGTTAAGAAAACAGAGCTCATGCTTCCACTTTTGAGAGGTCTCCTGAGTTAAACCCAAGAAGTATTTAGAAATAAATTATAGCAGGAGATTAAATTCAGCCTTGCAAAGAACTATTACCATGACTTCCTGCTGATAAAAGTTTAAGAAAGAGTTCTTTTAAAAAGAGGAAATAATATGGAAGCATTTAGAATACTTCTCAGCACATACAGTTGAGGAAAAACTTCAAGTTCTTAGAAGAAAAGCTAACAGCCTTCCTCAAAGACAATGTGCATAAACAGGGAGGAATGAATCAATATATTAATGACAGATGGCTCATTTGTTTCTGGATGGTTATGTCTTTAAATCTTTTTGTTACCGATGATGTTTTTAGTATACATGGATATTTTGAAAATGGAATGGCATAATATGCTAGTTTCAAAAGGAGTGAGAGGACATCCTGTACTATCCCACTCGGGATCTGTGACCCCAACAGGTACACCTGCAGGGTTCCCCACGACGTGGCCGGGGCGCCACCAGCACTGCAGGGCAGTATCTGAAAAGCTTCTGCTGCACAAGTGTCTCCTCGGCGATTTGCACATGTATTGTCCAATATCGATGGAAAACTGTAAATTTTACTTACGCCTCTCTAATATCTCTGTAATTCCAGCATTATCAGCTTCCAGCTCCATTTTAAACTTAGCCAGTTCCTGATCCAGCTTTCTCAAGTGTCGATCTACCTGTTTCAAAGAAGATCAAAGATAACCACCAAAATTTGGGACACTCTTAAAGTGTCAGTTTACTGAGGAAATCTAAATCTTTGTTTCTTTTAGTGAAACTGCTTAATTATCCTTGAGCAAGTCAGTTAACCTACACCTCAGATGCTTTGAATCTACCGGATAGGGTGCTAGGCTAAATGATCTTCCAAGCCTCCTATAATCAACTTTAAGTTTTAAGAAACGGGATCTTAATTTTTAGGAAAATGGTCTACATAAATGGAGATATGAGAATTAAAGGAAAACTGAGACCTACGACTTGAAAGGCAGGAGGGGCTGGAAGACTGGTAGCTTTTAAAAATATCCCATGATTGCTTTCAGCCTAATCTCCTCTGCTTCTAAGAGGGCCAACCATAGTGCTACACCACAGTAACTGTTATTTACAATGATGAAAGAAAGATCTTCAGTCTTACAAACAAAGAGGCTACAGTCCATACATACATATCCCTAAGCCAAGAAAGCAGACCATTATACTTGTAAACATTTATATAAAGGACTCAAATAAAAGGGGATTTTAGCCAGAAAACTTCATTTTCCAAAAGCCTGATTAAAATGAATTTATTTATAATACCATTGTCCTAGTTGTGGAAAAACTTTCTCACTTAACTAGAGATTGCTGGATTAATTTCAGAAAATTGTAAGACATCTCAACCTAGCAGCAATGTCTTAATGTAATTCAAAGCTTATATGAAACATTTTCTAATATGTAACTCTGTATCCTTAATATTCTGAAGTAACACAGAAAAGAACTAATTGTTTTAAAAATATTCTATGGACTGCATCTTTTTTCAAAGTCTAGTTTTCCACTGAATTACTTATAACTAAAAATAACATACTTATAAGTATTAAAAAAGTGCTAGGATATAGTGTGGAGGAAATTCAAGTAAGAGGCTAAATTACATAATATGTGTCTAACAGAAACAGGCTAGGGAACAAAATTAGCAAATACAGGCTACTTAAGTTAGATGCTTAGGAAAAGGCTCTGTGATACCTCTTGCTTGTACATTAGCTACATATCTTCTCTACTCCTCACTAATCTTTTGAGGTAGGTTATTACTGTCTCCATTTTATAAGAGAAAAAGCTCAGAGGGGTTAACATGCCTGGAACAATACAGCTAAGACATTACGGAAACAAGATTTCATCTGATCTATCTGTAATGAACTGCTTCACCATTTATATTTAACATTGTTCTCTGAACCTCTGCATATAGGCACCAACTGTTTTTAACTCAGAGTAATGTAATTCAGGTCCTGTTATTTATATTTTGTATGTTAGCAGCAATCACTGGGGTGTCAGTTTATTACTTCTTAGTCACTTAAAGCCTAGTTTGCCCTCCAACTATACACACAAGTTATTCTTCAAAGGTTGGCAGAAGTTACGAGTACAGTATTTAAAATGTTACAGGGCACATAATGTAGACACTTGCTCCTATTCAAAGAACGTGCAGGTAATTTAGCATCCTTTAATGGAACCCACCTTCCAATAATAAAGTATGAACACAGACCTCCATTATTGCAGAATATTTCTTTCATTGTCAAAATTTAATCTCAAGGGAAATCAGCATAAATATTCTAGTTCAAGACATGAAGTACAATAAAAACATTTCATGACTTTTTTTACCTATAATTACACTAGAATTAAATATGGACCACCTACCATGTGCTTGGCAATAGGTTAAATGGAGACAGATCAATGTGTGGGAATCACCTTCACAGAAATTAGAACTCAGAAACTGGGAGGCTGAGGCAGGACTGCTGCAAATTCAAGGCTGGCCTAGGCTACATAATGAGTTTAAGACCAGCTTGTGCTCCACAGTGAGACCCCATTCTCACAAAAAGAACTTAGCCAACAAGTCAAGACCTATATAAGATTTTTAACACAATCAATAAAGGTTGAAAAAAGATACAATGGAGATAAAATAAGTAACAGCTGAAAAAAGAATAAGAAGTAGCACCTAAAGAAAAAAAATAACAGTGGGCTGTGGTAGACAGAGAGGAAGAATGAGTTAGACAGTAAACAATAGATCATATTCAAATAAATGAGAGGAGGGGCAATAATTTAAAACTGTATGGAGACTGAAAGTCGAGCAGTGCTCTCAAAGAAAGCATGGTGTGGCCTGTAACATACGTTATCCAGACAGGCACAGAGTTAGAACCTTGATGGGGAATAGTGCTAAGGCGAAACAGACACCCCTTTCTTTCTTCAGAACATACATATCCTACCACTTCTTTTAAAACTGCTTTACAAAAACAAACAAACAAACAAACAAACAAAAAACTTCTTCATAAAGTTGTAAGAATGATTAAATATTTTAGAAGTGAAAAAAACCGCTTTACTGTATTAAATACATTACACATGAAAGCATGCGAAAATGAGAACATTTTCTATACTAAATAGTTTGGAAAAGACAATATTATTCAAAGAATGAGTAATTCTAGAAAATTAGTAATTAAACATTTTTAAAGCACAACCACTTTGAGCAGATCAGCTTTGTAATGGGGTTTCCAACCATTTTCACTTCTTCATAGATAAAAAAGGTTATGAATTAATTAACAGTGTCAGCAACTACTAGGCAATGAAAATTGTTTTCTTAAATTTACTATTTCAGTATTAAATCAAATTAGAAGTGAGAAGTTGGGCATGAAACTTAAATTATAAAGCACTAGGATACTTACACTAGGATATATTAAATGGCCATAAGAGTGAACAGAACCCAGTTAAAATCTAGTATGTGCCCTCCCTTTACCTACATGGATGGGTAAAGTACCTATTCTAGTTGATTATCATAATGACTTCATGGATATCAGGCAAAACAGAGCCAAGTTACCCTACTAGTCCACACCAACCTGACCTCGTAAGGGTAATTTAGAGCAGCAAAGACAGCACTGCTATCTCTGAGACATTTCCCACTGGCCACAATTTCCCAATACAAATCGACCACAGTCTAAATACTGATTTGCTCTCAGTGTGAGTAAGGCTGGATGAAATACAACTAGATCATAACATAGGCTCCTTGTCACCAAATTTAACCTCACACCAGGGATGTAAGTGCTATACACAAAAGCTTCCTTGCTCTACACCAAATCATATTCTATAACCACAAATTACAACTGCTTTCAACTACTATCCTTTTAATGAATTCTTTAGAAACAAATGTTACTTATTACCATATTTATGATTATAAAAAATTAAGTCACACTTGACACCTCTGCACAAAAAAACCACTCAATTTCTGTAATATTTTATTCTTTCTTTTCTGAATTTCTGAGGTTTCCAATATTCAAATTTTAAGATGCACTACTGATGGATCCAAATTACAAGTATCTCTATATGATCAACTGCTTCCAAGACAGTCAAATTCAAATATTTAGACATTTAGTCTGCCCTTTCAAAATGAGCAATTGGTTTATTAGGTTCTAAATTGAAATCCATGGCAATAAAATATAAATTTCAATCTACACACAGATTTGGCTATAGTGAATAAAAAGGGCAAATGGGGGAAGAAAAAGGAACCATGATGGCAAAGCATTTCTCTAATAAGTCATAAAAATGATTCTTCACATTTCTAAATTATATTTAAACTAGCTCAAATGTGACCTATCCTCAGGCATTCAATGCTTGGAACTTCAGCACGTATACTACATCTAATCATCCTCCTACAAGACAATAAGGACGAGAGACAAATCAAAAGGTCAAATCCATATAATACATTTCCTTAATTAGAGTATCATATGAAGAACTCTCAAATTTATAGATAAAACACCGATCTGAAATATAATCACCTCAAGAACAGGCAGGATATAAAGAAGCAGCAAGTTCAAAGATATTGAAGCACTGCAAGAGACTGCTAAAATCATTCAAGCATTAACTAAAAGCTCAAATTTTATCAGAGCCTATATAAATCAACTTCATTAGGTATGGCATTCTGACACGTCCTTAGAGTGGGGACATCTGCCTAAGGAACACAGTAAGTGTTTAATGACTACTTATATGTATCAAGATTCCAGAAGAAAATTATTTTAAGAAAAATCAATTTTTATTAGTCAAACTTCACTACAAGTCCTGTCATAAATTTTCAACTTATTCTACCTGACTCCTAATTCCACAAATTTCTTGATATTATCCAATATGGTTTCCTTCCCTATAAATCGTCTACTGCTTTCAAAGGTAAATAAAACTTTTCAAAGTAAACATACATTGAAACACCATGTTATATAAAACACTTCAGGATGAAATCATACATATCCCTTATCAGAAATGTTTGGAAGAAATGTTTCAGATTTTAAATCTTTTCAGATTTTGGATTATTTCCACATACATAATAAACTATTTTCGGTATAAATCCCAAATCCAAATACAAACTGCATTTATGTTTTATATGCATTTACATATACACATAGCTTAACAATTTTACTCAATATATTGAGTGTGTTCAAATATTGACAATGACCTGTCACATGAAGTCATCTGTGGTATCTTGTCAATAATCAACAAGTGCATTTTGGAGTATTTCCGATTTTGAATATTCTTATTACAGTTGTTCAACTGGTAAAGTCTATGCAAATATTCCAGAGTCCAAAAAACTTTGGACACTTCTACTCCCAAGTTTTAGGTAAGCAACACACAAGATAGATTTATAAGCTTTCATTTCAGTAAGTACAGCTGACATTTCAGGGATATTAATTAACTTGATAGGATAACTGTATTTAGCGACCTCCCTGCAAACAAATCAGTAATTCCACTAAATGTGACTGTAATTACTTGTAAGGCTAAAAAAGTAAGTGTTACCCTCAGCATAAAGTGTTAAAGACACCATGGCAATGCACACTGCACAAAGCACAAGCATTCCAGCAAGGTACATTATTGTTTCAAAAAAATTAATAAATTTTTTATTCATGATAAAATGATACTAGTTTTTCATTTATGTTTGTAGTATCAAATTAGTAAGAGCTTTTCTCTTAAA